TTACTCTGATTTTAGCACAAGTAGGCAAAATTGCTGTGTCCCCAATCATGTTTGCTCAACTTCTGTAACAGATATACAAAAAGAAATTCAAAGAAATACAAACAAATTCTACATTTTTGTGAGTGTTGTATGACCCTTTTGCTAATATTCCTCACCAAATTGAAATTGTTGTTATTAATTCATTTGTATTGAAAATAAAGTGTGTGTCCCCTGTTTGAATGTCCCCCCTGTTACTCTGATTTGAATCCCTCTGAACACGCCCCTTTACTATTCTACTATTTGTATGACTCAAGAAGAAGGACACATTTTGAGTGGGAAATAATCTTCAAGAAGCAGAGTGAATGCGTTCTTCCTTCAACGTTTTTCTAATGTTTTAAAGAACTTAACTATTGCGGTAAAGCATAAAATGTCCACCCTGTTATGCTCATTTTTAGTGGAACTGATCATTTGTTTTACATTTAGAAAATATGTTGAATATATCTATCAAATATATGGTTCTGTTGTCACCAAGTGCTAGCTTGATTATCATCACACATGTAGCAATAGCCAAGTTTAGCATAAAATGTCCACCCTGTTACCGTCCACCCTGTTACTATTTTTCACAGTAACGGGATGGTAAAAAAAAATAAAAATGTAAGCATAATATCCTGAGCTTGACCAAAATATTTTTCTTATACTTTAACAAGCCATCATCCAGATTAAATAAAAAAAAAACATGGAAAATTATGTTATTTATTTTTGAATACCCTAGCTGAAATGGCACCAAATGCTAGGAATGACCCAGCTATGCATAGTTTATTACTGATGCTACAACGCTCTTAACGTTACATGAAACCTGAACAAAGAGAGGTTGAGAAGCTGCAGGCCTGCTTTTGTAGTTTGATACTATTCACTGACTATAACGTAAGCCGGAAGTCGAACAAGCCATTCATGTTTAGAGTAATGAAGCAGTGATCAGCTGCTTACTTGAACAATATAACCCTTAAATGGGCATTCACATACTTTGGAAAATTAATTGATAGCTACTTTCTACATTACACCCTTATTACAATGTTATAACGCAAATATTACACATGAATACACTCTTATTAAACCCATATATTACACTGTTACTGCACCCATACAACACTGTTGTTATAACCCATGTAACACGCATATTTTACCGTAATTATATATACATTCCTATTACATCCATGTTACACTGTTACTTGACACATGGACACAGCTGTCAAATGACTGTACTGCCCAGGATACAGAAACCATTTCGCTATTGAATTAAAGTCTTTCAGGTGCAGTCAGAAATGCAGCATCAGCTCAGTAAACAGTCATTTCAAATGATTAACCGATTAGTCAATCCAAGGTTGAATCATTTATATTTTGAATAGTTTGTGGTTTTGGAAATCTCTCCAGAAGGTGAATTAGTACTTGGGATCACGCTGTGTAAATAACAAAAATGAAGTTTACGCATTACCCTTTCTAAAGAAACCTCTTTCCTAAATGTTTGTTTAACTCCTCCTGTTACTCCTACCTCTCATCCACCTCCTCTGTCTGTTCAACAGGAAGAACGTGGATGACTTCACAGGACCCAGGGAGCGCAGTGATCTGGGTTTCCTCACCTTTGACCTCTCATCTGATATCCTTTAGAACACTGCAACCAAAATAAAATTAATTTAAGTTACAAGGCTTCTGATTTGAGTTCCAGGCAGCGGCCTCTTGTTGGCCAGCTTCTAGTCCGTGTTAGTGACATGAAACGCATCGTTGTTGTTGTTGTACCTATCGGCACTCAACTATTTTAAAATCACCCCACACTTACAGAAGGCAGTTGAATGAATCCTCACATAAACAGGCCTTTAATATGAACAGCTTCTGTCCTCTCTGCTTCCTTAACTCCTCCCACATCTGCAGCCCATCTTCGACTGGAACGTCAAGCAGCTCTTCCTCTATCTGTCTGCTGAGTACGCCACGAGGAGCAATGTAAGAGACACACACACACACACACACACACACACACACACACACACACACACACACACACACACACACACACACACTACTATTGCTGATTAGTGTAGATGTGGCTCTGCATGATGACAGATGTCCATACAAAATGTGTGACACATTATCAAATCTTCAAAATGAATCCACAAAAGAAAATGCCTGTATCGGACCGTAGGTTTGATGTTAGAATCTAAAATGAATCCTGACAGTAAACACTTCCTGGTCACTTCATTAGGTACACCTATAATATGGACGCCCCATATTCTACCTTTTACAAAGCTTATAATGTAAATGTTGATGTTCATCTTGGTGTGTGTGTGTGTGTGTGTGTGTGTGTGTGTGTGTGTGTGTGTGTGTGTGTGTGTGTGTGTGTGTGTGTGTGTGTGTGTGTGTGTGTGTCAGGCTCTGAACCAGGTGGTTTTGTGGGATAAGATCGTCCTTCGAGGGGAAAACACCAAACTGAACCTCAGAGACATGAAGTCCAAATACTTCTTCTTTGATGATGGGAATGGACTTAGGTGAGACACAGACTCACACCCAGTGTAAGGAATTCAACACTAACAACACTGACTGTCTGTCAGTGTTGTCAAGTGATCTGGGATCTTCCATCGAAACCACACTCTTTTCTTGCTTGGCTGGCATCAGATTGTTTAGCTCCTTCCAGATACAACTGACACATCTTTTACAGGGCGCTCTGCTAAATATAACAATGACATATTTCTACTGATTGGATAAGACACATTCCTGTTCAATATGATCACAGGATTCTTTAGGGGATATCAGGGAACTAGTGGACCTAAACACTCCCAAATATACAGGACTAATTAAAAAAAGAATCATTTGAACCAGTAATGCAAAGCATTTCCTATATTGCAATTCAATAGCATCTTTATTAGAGCTTCCCTGTCTGATACATGCCCAAATCTTTCAAACCTCACACTTTAAGTCTCACATACATCCTGCCGCAGCTGATATACAGGGATGCAGTGATGACATCTTTGTTTAGGCCAACCAGGAAGTTAGCCCCAAGGAGCACAAAAAGCAGCGGGATGTTTCCACTGGGTTTTGGATTATAGCAGAAATAAGATCTGTGACAAATGCACGTTCATGACATGTCCCGTTTTTGTTCAGCAGGATGATCTCCACATATTAACAACGCTTTATGATTTTTGAAGAGTAAGTGCAACAGCTAAAAGTAGAAATCTAACATTAAACTATAAAGGAACTAGAGCACGGTCACTTGACTTCACGCCGCCACTGCTAAACTCAAGGCAGCTAATGTTGACTTTGAGACGAAGGAACCGGAGGGGGTCAATCCTGACTAAGTTCCAGTGATGAGACTGACTAACTGTTTTGTTTGTGTCGTCTGCAGGGCCAACAAGAACATCACTCTGACGCTGTCCTGGAACGTTGTTCCCAACGCTGGGATCCTGCCTCTGGTGGCAGGGAGCGGTCATGTCAGCCTCCCCTTCCCAGAATCCTATGAGACCACCAAGAGCTATTAGACCGAGACACAGACCGCCACACATGCTGAATACACACACACACACACACACACACACACACACACACACACACACACACACACACACACACACACACACACATATATATATATATATATATATATATATATATA